CAGGTGAAAGGAATGACTAATTAAGGGAGAGCAAACAGGCCAGATCATGACAGAACAAACAACGTCAACTGCGAACTTTTAAACCCTGCGGTTTCATCGTACAGTGTGAGCTGTAGCTGCGTGCTACGATAGTAGCTAAAATATCGTACACTGCGTCCCTGGCTTAAATAATCATGATGCCGTGCTGCGTAGGACTTCGTTTGGTCCAAGGAGAGTCGGACTGGAATTTTTTTTAGAAAATTTTTTTTTTTTGGGGGGGGGGTCTACAGCAGTAGTTGCTTGTTGTTTTTTGGATTTGAACCCAGGTCGGCTGCATCGAGGTTTAGGGCCTTCGTACATGGGACATGGCCGGTAACGCTGCGCCACCAAAACACGCCCTCATGCTAGCATTTTTTTTTACACAGTATTAGTAACTATCTTTTCAATTTCTACTTTTAGTTGTTCCATTGTTACCTTTTTTTACTGTTAATAAATACTATTTGGCTTTTAGATAAGTTTAGTTTCCCTCCAGGTCCCATTTTTAACCAATCGGATGGAGCTTCTGTTATTTCAGGGACTTTTTTCAGGACAGGGAATTAGCAGCGGTCGCTCATCTTCGTTTAAAAAATATTGAAAATGTGAGTTGTTCTTTTTTGAGGTTGGATCTTGATAAAGAAGCAGATCCTTTGTTGTTCTGTCTGTTTACATGAAACCATAAAACCAAAAGAAGCAGCACTGCTTTCTTTTCTTTGTAATAGCCTCTCCTAAATCTATAAATAGTGAATATGGCAGACCCACTAGTAAAACAGGAAGGGACAGTATGATCCTGGTCCACAGGAAGTGGAACAGGGGAGGTGAAAGTTTGGGGCCTCCTCTGGAGTCTGTGTCTGGGAAAACAATCATATTTTCTGCAGCTTGTTCCAGACTTGACCAGCAGACTAAAGAATGTTTTGAGGCGTTTCTGCAGAACGGATCTTCTCATGCTCGTTCTAGTCATCCTTCTCCTGTGGCTTAAAGGCTCAGGAAAAAGACAAACTCCTACGCACTAATGATAATATGGAAGCCCTGAAAGGCAAGTGGAAAAATAATTCTTTGTTTTTGTAATACCTCTAATCCACCAAAGGAGGCAGCGCAGCCAGCCAGCCTCAAGATAAGTCAGAGTTCTTGCCCTCTGGTGGATAGAACAGGTATTACAAAGACAAACAAACACTCCATTCAGGTCTGGTGAAGACAATAATGCAAGGTGTTTAGGGGGGAAAATGACCGAAGTAATTAATCTTTGTTTTAGGTCTGTCGTGGTTATTTTTCCAAAGTAATTTTGAACTAAGATCAGAGAAAGTTTCAGAGGAGCAGTGTGGGCTCTGTCTCAACCATGGAGCAGCTCTACAGCCTCTGCAGGCGTTCGAGGGTTCATAGTAGTTTACTGAACAGCTTCACATGTGAGATATGGAGCTACGTTCTGCTCTCTCTGCTTTTCATCATTCTGCTTCATTCTATCTCTATTCTCCCACTCTGCAGAATCTGTTAGTTCAATCTCTAAC